CTTTACATTGTTTAATTGTAACGATATTAGTTATAAATTGATTTCTTTTCGTAATTAGTATTATTTTACATCATCAAATAGATTTCCGCCAGCAAACCATTCCCATCAGAATTACGCAATCGTGGAAAACAAGCCACTTAAAAAGTTATGCGCTACTCCTTTAGCGCTTGTTATATTTTAAGTATTTTTCATAAACATTATCGTATATCATTATATTTTAATAAAAATTAAACTTGGTTTATTGAGGCATTCCTTGTATAATGAGTAGGGGCGTCCGTAATGAAATTTCAGACACAAACGAGAGTGACCCTAATTTCTGAAATTCATACTGATTTTATAACGACCGCGATTTTAATTATAATACTGAGAATTAATGAATATTGCTTAACTTTACAAATTAATTTATGAATAGTAATAATTGCATTATAAGAGCATTTTGTTTATTTTCTTTTCATTACATCTAAGCACGCAAGTCTGTATTTACTTAAAATTTCAGCTTTACGAACTCTTATAAGTTATTCGAAAGTAAATATTACAAATTTATTTACTTTTAAGCTAATTTTTTCACTATTTCAATTATAATTATAAGTAACATCGTAATAATACCATAAATTGTAGTACGTAAAAGCCGCTTGTCAATCTGGCAATTATGTCAAAATCTCCCTTAATCTGAAGAAGAAATACGTATTATATGACAAATTCACATGCTTTATAAACATCTCATTCATAATTTATGTTTTCCTTTCATTTAGCAAGTTTATCATAACAATGTTTATATAACTATGTATAATTTTAACCTCTGTAACTAAAGCGTTGCAATTGCATACAATATATTGTAAAATTAAACAATTATATGCCATAAAATTAAACAAAAAAGGTGTTGTAAGGGAATACACCCATGTCGTCCCCTTGGTGAAGAGGGAAGTACTTATGAATAACATGGGAGGTAAATGGGCGACCACGGAAAATGCTAGAAATATCTTAATACAGATATGCCAGGCGTAATATATACAGTTAACCAAGGGGACGGCGTAAAAGTTGCAAGACAAGTTACTCCGATCGGCACTCTGCCTGCCAAACGTGACTCTTGAGGTAAATTCCCCTTCTACAGGAGAGGAACATGAACGACAGTGGACTTTCATGTGCTAATGAAGAGGAAGAGATATAAAACATAAATATCTTAAAATATGTAGCTATCTTAGTAGATTCGTTTTTAATATTTTGCTATTTATGCTATTTATTTGACCTTTTATGAGACTTGGTCCAAACATTTCCTCGTTTTTATCCTCGTATAAAACAGAGGGGTGTTATAAGTTAGTAGTGTGCATCTGTGTATCTGTGTTTGTCCGTCTATGGCATCATAGCTTCTGAACGGATGAACCGAATTTGATTTTATTCCTTTTAAAGGTTATAACATTCTCGATTAAGAAAATCGAGAGTGGTCTTAGCTATGTTTCTAGAAAATCTTTTCAGCCCATCGAAAATCATTGCCATTCGTTTTTTATTTTTTATTTAAGTTATAAAATTGGTAACATTCACTCGTCCTAAATCAGCATAATTTCTTTCCGAGCTTTTATGAAAAATATAATTGATATATTATATTATCTTTCTTTTTGTTTTCGAATGACAACGTGTATTCTCTTTAGTCTACTGGAAGATGTTCATATTTTGTAACATGTTGATACGTAGCTGCCTGGGTTTTAATTTGTGGCTATCTGTTAATTTTCTTTGATCTTAAATAGGTCATGAACAAGGGAATCAATCAACTCCTTTTATTGAGCACAAATGCGGTTTAATTTTAGTTAATTATTATTGGAGGATTGACGTGTATGCTGCATATTATCGGCGTAAAAGAATCCTGTATCGGACTGAATGAAAAGAAACAGAAGACGAACAACAGTATATTTCTGATAACAGCTCAACATATTGCTCAAAACAAGAAAAAACAACTGTATTTGCTAACCTGCCTGCCAAGCTCGTTAACTATAGCAATTTATGTAGAAGACCTTAATTCAGCAGTTGGCTTTTGACAGGTTGTTATAAATAAATAAATAGTGTTTGATAGAATCAGGCGTTACTTTGTGGAAATCCATTATATTAAAGATATTAGTACTTAGTTTGCAACCATCCGCCCAATTAAATAAAAACTAGGTGCTCTTCAAACTAGGGAAGACACATCATTTTATTTAATTGAGCGGATGGTATTAAAGTAAAGTAAAGTTACAGCCTATATACGTCCCACTGCTGGGCTCAGGCCTCCCCTCATTTCTGAGAGGGTTTAGGGCAAGGAAGTGTCCGCCGCGCTGCCCAAATGCGTGTTGACGAACTTCACATGTCTTCGAAATATTTTTTTCTTATTCCTCAGACATGCAGGTTTCCTCACGATGTTTTCCTTCACCGCCGAACACGTGGTAAATCAGCACTTAAAATTGCAATTAACAATTTCATTGGTGCCGGCGGGGATCGAACCCGGGTTACTCGCATTCTGTTATATTTACAGCGAGCGTTAACCACTGAGCTACCACGGCTCTTGCTGATCTATCACGGAGCGGATGGTTGTAAACTAAGTATTAATATCTTTATTAAATAGTGTTTATTAGGAAACCTACATGCGCAGCGGCGGTGTAAGATTATCCACTACCCCATATCATCCCGTGGGTGTCGTAAGAGGTGACAGAGGGAAACAAACCAGGAGAGGGGCAGCAGCGTCTACCTAATAATGATTAAAAATAAAAAACTGCGGTTGCCAACGCACTTAACTAGCGGGTCAACTATGGCAAATATACCTCTATAAGACAATCTTTAGGGGAGGCTTATGTTTAGCAGTGAACTTTAATAAGCTGTAACGGTAACGTTTGTTAAAAATGTGAATAATTCAACTGAATTAATGTTTCCTGCAGAAATCAGTTTTTTTATAGGATAGGATGACAAACGAGCACAAAGTTCACCTGACGGTAAGTGGTTTCTGTGGCCCATAGACATCCTACATCTATCCACGATTACGAATCAAAATGATGAATGATATTCTGTGAGAGCGTGGTCCTTCCCCGGTCGAGCCGACCCATTTGTGCTACAACTATACTACTTATATAACTGCAGCATGGATCTACCACGTAAAGTAATTTTTTACATTTAATTCTTTATGTGAAGTAGGAATAAACATTATAATTTACAGTGAATTTTGCACTTACCAAAATAGAAATTGTATTTTATCTAACGCTCTTTTGAATATTGTCACAAAGCACAAACATATAGCTATCGGACAAAAATTTTTAAAGGTGGGCCCACACCAAAATGGAGGCCGATTCAATGCATTCCTCTTTAGAACGTCACCTAAAGAACAAAGTCATAAATGTGCCAGCTGAATACATATCTAATTACTAAGCATGCTCGTAAATGAGTTATGCTCTAATTAGTAGTAATACTTATTCACATTTTATATTTTTAAAATATCAAGAAAAATTATAAAATATTTAGAGCAACGGGTTTTTGATGATGGGCTTAACATGTTAACGAATTAGGCCGACAACTATTTATTTATTTCATTCATTTATTACTACCACTGCTGAATTTTACGTGGTAGAGCCATGCTGCAATTATGTTAGTAGTATAGTTGTAGCACGAATGGGTCGGCTCGACCGGGGAAGGACCACGCTCTCACAGAATACCAGCGTGAAATAGTAGCTTAATGCTGCTGTATTTCGTATGGTGAGTGTAGAGAACCGGAGACCCTTTTTACTGGAAATGAGGCATTCCATCTCAGTCCTCACGGGTGACAACGCATCTGCATTTTGTTTTGTAATGGAAGATAGATGTAGATGTATGGGCCGCAGCAACCACTTACCATCTGGTGGACTGTGTGCTCGTTTGTCACCCTATCCTATAAAAAAAAAAACCTGGGACTCCTCCATAGATTACCGCATAGAAACAGCCCCTTCTTTGCAATATTCGCCACACTTCGCAGGCAACTGCAATTTATTATTACTTTGAATTGTTATCAGGTAGATTTTGCTCCTCTTTTCCTATTTCGTTTTCCTCCGTGCCTTTTACGAGACCCACAAGATGATATGAGATCCGCCACTACACTAATCTATACTAATATAATCTTATACTATTGTGTGAAATTTTGTGAGAAGTTTTGGTGTTTGACTTTTTTCCACTGAATCCCGCGTCAGTGACCGAATGGATTCCAATAATATTTTGTACACAGACAGAAAATCACCAAGTACTTTATTTAACACGAGAAATTTTCATTCACCATTTAAAAATATATGTGAACTAAAACAAAGGTGTTTTGGTTTTCACGCGGACAGAGCAGCGGGGAGAAGTTACATTAAAATTAATTAAATCTGATAAAATCCATAAAATTAGTTACCTATCAATATGAAAATTTAATACAATATCGATATTTTAGGTTATTTAACATAAACGGAAATTGTGTTAATCTCAACATTTCTGTCACAATGTGTCAGTGTCACAAAAAGGGTTAGGGATAAAAGGTATTATATCAAAAGGATCATTGTTAATACTTGTATTATTATACTAGACTTTATATTACAGAGCGTTACTTTTAGATTTACATTTATTTAATTATTTAAAAACATAATACCATAAAATGTTTAGCGATTATTTTTTTTCCTACAGCGTAGTTTACACAATAGTATCAAATATTTTCGGAACGACATACATATAAATTAAAAACAAGTTAAATTCTACACCGTCCTCTTTCTTCGTGAATTATGAGGAAGGCAGCATGTGTTGGAAATTACGCTCTGTTATGGGAGTGCAGCTTAAGTAATATTTATGGTTAATAGTTAGTTTTGCATCTATTCTATTGCAATATCAATTTCGGTATTTTTTACAGATGTGTCGTAGGCATATATTAGAAAGACGATGGACGCAGTTGTCTCGGGACCGTATTTTAGTGACTGGCAAATATGTTCAGCAGAGGACTTGTAATGATGTACGGCAGTAATGGTGATTATGATGTATCCATTGCTATGTTGGAACGGTGCGGAGGATCCAAGAAGCGATTGGTTTGCCTTGAAAGCTATCGTTATATCTTTCGTATCGTAGAGGTTAAAAATCAAAATGTCTACAAGTAAGAATGGTTTTCGGTTTTTGTCACACACTATACTAAACACAGCAGGATTATGATATCTAAATTTTATTATTATTATATTTAGATATCATAATCCTGCTGTGTTTAGTATAGTGTGAGTATGAGTGATTAGTAAAAGAGACACGGGTTAAGTCATGTAATTTTTTTAAAAAAACATTAAGAAGTATTAACTTGGCCTAGCCTGAAAATTAAAGTGTTAAAGTTTGTTACTTTTAGTCGTTATTAAGAAGACGCTGCTGCCCATCTAATTTGTTTTCCTAATTACCCTGTGTCAGCGGAAGTTGTAAGAGCCGTATAGGCTAACAGCACCTCACACCCAATAATCACATAAAACAGATAATTTATTTTCCTCTGTCGCCTCTTACGACACCCACGGGATGATATGGGGTAGTGGATATTCTTACACCGCAACAAAACTGTTTACTCATCGAACTAATTAAAAATATATAAAGAGTTTATATCTTGTAGAGGATGTGTAAAAAAGCTACTACTCTCTGTCGTGTAATGAAACAGGAGACAGATAGCAGCATCTTTTTGATAACGACTTAAAATAAATAAAAACTGCGGTTGCCTATCCGTCCGTTTAGTGTGGTAACGATGAGCCATGTTTAACAAAAAATATTCAAGGGGCTGTAATAAATAAATTAATGAGTTCAACCATAAATTATTCATGCAAGATGATACCTTAAACAATTTCAATTAAAAAAAAAAACTCTACCCGTGTAACAATTTTCATAAACAAGGCAAGCGGAACATATAACGTACCTGTTTTACTGCGGATGGTTTTGCAGTGAACTGATGATTTAATACCAACGTATGTAAAATGAACAAAAGGTATTTGCAAAAACAGTCGCAATTCCAAAGGTTACAAATAATTTTCTTTAACATTAATATTTTTATATTATAGTTATACCTTGAATAATTTCAATGCATATTTTAAGAGAACATTAGTTAACAACCAACCGAATAGCAAAGGTACGGCAAAAGTGCGACCTCCAAAAATCAACACAATATCATTCACGCGAAAATGGCGTACGTAATGAATTGAAAATAAATGTTTTTTTATTGCACTAGAGGGTCGAACTTTTTATATTGATTCTATAATGTCAAACTTATTCATAGAAAGGTAGTCTGTAAATATAAGTTTTAATGGTTTAAAGTGCTGTGGGTGTGCGCGTTCGAATCCGACCGCTTGAATTTTGACGGAATAGCGCCGCGGTTTGAAGGGTTGCTGAACATAAGCCTCCTCCAAACGTAGACCTTTTCCTCCATAAAATAAAAAAGCAAACTTAATTAAATATGTTTTTAAGCGTTTTGCGCGCGTTAGCTTTTGTAGGCGTTATTAAAGCCTGTATTTGAGCTCATTATCCAAGCAGCTCCATGATACCATATTATTACAAGTTAACAAGTACTTCAAAAATTGATTACAAATTGTTAACTTGAGAGACATACGAAATAGCAAATTAAATAAAAGCTTTTCATTCCATGGCAACGACGACGAATGACAAAATACGCACACACACATTTTGATCAATAATTTCAGCATCATATTCTCTTGTTCAAAATATACGTTGCTATATTTATACCCATGCACAATAATTTTGAATAAGAGTGTAATATGTAGAATCATATAATTTGAAATGTTAGTCTTTTAACGGAATAATTTTCATCTAATTTTATTTATTTTTTGTGTATGTAAAGTTACTGATACTGTACGTCTAATGGCTGGGCACAGGCCTCTCATTAATAGGAAAAAAAACTGCGGTTGCCATCCCGTATGAAAAGAGTGGCACCCCTGTAGCAAATATTCTCCATATGGGGTAATCCATGGGGGAGGGCTATGTTAAGTAGGGACTTTAGATGTGCTGTAACGATAACTGGCTGAAGAAGTATAATAAAGAAAAGAATGAAAAGAATTTTAATCTTTGCGTATCTATATTCATTTATTTTATTTATGAAACCTAAAGATACACACATTTTTACTGCAATCTGGAAATTAATAAAGTGATTCGGTCCCTTACTACAATTACGTTAGCATTAATTTTCTAAATGTAATTTAACTGTCTCTTGTTGACAATTCCAGGTAAACGATGACGGCAGCTTTACATTTGGGTATGAATCAGCTGACGGTTCCTTCAAGGAGGAAACCAGAGGTACTGACTGCGTTGTTCGAGGCAAGTACGGTTACGTCGACCCCGATGGCAACAAACGAGAGTTCACCTACGTCTCCGGCAATCCTTGCGACCCTAACAATCCCAATGAGGAAGAGGAGCCTGAATCAGCAGAGTATCATCGTTTCAGATAATCAGAGTTTGGTAGGCAAGCGGAACATATAACGTACCTGTTTTACTGCGGATGGTTTTGCAGTGAACTGATGATTTAATACCAACGTATGTAAAATGAACAAAAGGTATTTGCAAAAACAGTCGCAATTCCAAAGGTTACAAATAATTTTCTTTAACATTAATATTTTTATATTATAGTTATACCTTGAATAATTTCAATGCATATTTTAAGAGAACATTAGTTAACAACCAACCGAATAGCAAAGGTACGGCAAAAGTGCGACCTCTGGTTTAAAACATATAAAATATTCGGGGCATTTCTTTTATAATTATTATATTCAACAATTGCAGTGGTAGCTTCACTCACTCTGAACTTGTTAATTCTAATTTTATATATCATGTGGGGTTTATCAAAAATAATAATGTGAAATGAGAGCCAAGATCAATATTATGATATATGCCTTGGTTGTTGACTTCAACGTCAAAAGAAGTGAGATCTAAATGGGTGCCAAGTTAAATGGTTAGCCCAGAAATTTAATTATAACAACATAAAATATCGTTACTTCTTATAACTTAGGATAATATATTGTAGCCTAAGGTCTGACTTGGCTAGTTCTCATATACGAATAATCACGTTCGATGGCTAGTTTTTACCAGCAAGCCAAATTTTCGGAATAATAAAATAAGAACTGACAAGTAACAGGTTTAGAACTTGCGAAGGCTACATTATAATTCGTATATGAAAACTAGCCAAGTAAGACTTAGGCTACAATATAATATTATCCTAAGTTATAAGAAGAAACGATATTTTATGTTGTTATAAATAAATTTCAGGGCTGACCATTGAACTTGGCACCCATTTAGATCTCACTTCTTTTGACATCAACAACCAAGGCATATATCATAATACTGAACTTGGCTCTCATTTGAAATTTATGTTTTTGATAGGATATCAATACTTTTTTACATAAATTATTAGTAGGTACTTATTTTTAACAAAATTAATACCAAATGGTTTTTGTTAAACTGCTGTATTTTCTACGTTTACGGGGAATAATTGTTTTTTTGTGTTATTTTCTATATTTTATTGTACCCTGATATGTTTGAGTGAATTGCCCATTCAGTATCCGGAATTTTTTCACGCATTTTCTGTTTACATTTAATTTGGCCAAGTCGGGGCGGTATAACGTGCGCAGACGGTTACTCTACAATAGAGCTCTCTTGTGACTTGATTTGACTTGGATCTAAATTGATAAGATATACTCCATCTAAGGTAGCTCTAGAGAATCCAACGTAAGCCTGCCCTCTACTAAATATAGAGGAGCCTATGTCGAGAAGATTACTATCAAGGCTAAGGCCTTGTGATTTGTAGATATTAATAACATATGCTAAGCAAATAGAGAATTATTCCATGTGAACATATACATTACTTAATATCTGAAACGGCGATCGAATGGAATAGGCAGCTTCTATCGAGAGGCATTGGAATAATTCGGTGTAAGGTAAGTGTGTCACCCACCCGTAATTCTATTGTACGACTCATTGTACAATATGTGTAATAAAAAGATAATTATTTAAGACGATTACATAACAAATTACCTGTTATCTATTGAATTCTCAAGAAAATTTGTTACCATCCCAATAAAGTCTCATTCTCACTCATTCAGAGTTAGGTATACATACCTACTTATAAATATACTAAAATTATTATTAATTTCTGATTTAAACTATTTCCTATATCATCTAGACACGCGGTGCGTACTTACTAAAAGAATTGTAATAATAATATAACCACAAATATATAAGTATTTTTAAGAAAACCTATTAATTTCGTAGCATAAATCGCCACCTCATAAGTCTTAGAGCGCTGCTGCCAGTGCCACTCGCTCGGACCTCGGACACGATGGCGTCAAGGTTTTATCGTCCCACCTCGCTCCTCCGGCGGCGTACCGCGCGCTGTATACATGTTCCTAATAGAATTAATTATGTGAAAAATTTGTCAGTTTCTGATTTATTCCTTTGTATTCACATAATCACCTATCAGCATGCCAAATTTGAACTTTGTAGGATATCTGGAACTGGGTTAGCGTTTTGATCTATAGGTCAGTCAGTGATAAACATTACGATTTTTAGACGTTAATATCTAAATAACCGTCTGTGATGTGTTAACGAAATTTGAAGTACATATATATCTTGCAAGTCTCAATATGTGTTCCAAACAGTTTTTGAGTTATGAGGGGGTCAAAAGTGACTTCAAATGGTTCATGTAATATTACACACGATCCGGCTCGCCGTTCTGCTGGAACTTGGCTTGACACGATAACGCGTGTCTAGATGCTACATGTCTAAAGAATATTAATAATTTCGAGGACATGTGACGTCCGCCAACCCGCACTTCATAATACTCAGAAATGAAAGTAGACCTGTTCGTAGCATTCTTTTCTTCTTCCTTCTAAAAATTTAACCTCTTAAGTTGAATTTTTACCTGCGGGTCTTTATTTAGATGACAGCATTGTTTAAATATTTTTTATAGGAGAGGGAGCAAATGAGCATACTGTTCACCTGATGTTAAGTGACTACCGCCGCCCATGAACAACCGCAACACCAGGGGAATGCAGGTAAATTGCCAGCCTTTTAGAAAGGAGTAAGCTCTTTTCTTGAAACTCCCTAGGTTGTATCTGTCCGGAAAAATCGCCGGTGATAAACTACTCCACAGAGAGGTCGTACGCGGATGAAAACTCTTAGTGAAACGTACAGTTGTGAACCGCCAAGCATCCAGATGGTGTAGATAGTATCGGGAGGTTTGCCGCGTAGTGCGTTCATAAAATTTGGCGGCTGGGATAAATCCGAATAATTTCTTAAAGCACTTCCCGTGGTAGATGCGAAAGGAAATGCAGAGAGATGCAACATCTCTTCGCAGCGACAGTGAATCTAGCCGATCGGAAAGCACTTGATCGTCGACGATTTGAGCCGCTCCGCGCTTAGTAGTAACCGTTAAGTAGAATGAGCTGGCACTGGGGAGCCCCAGCCTAGAGATGGGAACAGCATTCCATGTGCAGCCGAACCTGCGCCTTGCAAAGTTGCAGGCGGTGTGCCGGCATGAAATACTGTCCCGCTCTGCTGAGCACGCCAAGTTTTAAGAGGCCAATTTAGGCTCTAAAAAGCTTGCACGTTTACGGCTAAGAAGAAATTTTGTCTTCTAAGGGTTAAACTGGACCAGATTTAGTCGCCCCAATCTGAGACTTCGTTCAGAAAAGACTCGAATTCAGACACAAGTTTTTCCCGGTACTCAGAGACGTTTCCCCGAGAAATATTGGCACTGCAAGTGTACAGAGCATCACCAGTCCTGTCATCCGCATAACAATGAATGTTATCGATTTAAAACATTCATAGATATGCAGAAGAAACAGCGTTGGTTATAGCACGCAGCCTTGTGGAACGCTAGAATTAATAGGCTTGTAATCGGAGCACGCACCGTCTGCAACAACTTTGATGCTCCGATCTACAAGAAAGCTGATGATCCAGTTGCAAATATGTCAAATTTTGATAATTTTCGTGAGTAATTCTTGAGTGAGCGTAATGTTTTACTAAATAGAAGAAAAAAATATACGTCTATATGAAAAAGACGTATAAGTGAAAAATTATTTCAAGCTTTTTTTATTTGTTGTTGATCATTTATTAACATTGACTGAGATATTCGAAGAGTAAGAAGACTGGTATAATTAAAGAATACGAGGCATTCCATGTTAGTTGTCAGGAGTGACACGCATCTGATGTCTTATTTGTTCTAAGTAGGTTGCTGGATGGAGAGGGCTATGCTCGGAGTTTTTCTGCGTGATAGACTCAGAAATGAGGATATCCGCAGTAAAACCAGAGTGACCGACATAGCCCAACGGATTAGTAAGCTGAAGTGGCAATGGGCCGGCCATATAGCTCGAAGAACCGATAACCGATGGGGAAGAAAGGTTCTCGAGTGGCAGCCTCGTACCGGTAGGCGTAGTGTAGGGCGACCCCCCCACTAGATGGAGTGACAACCTGGTAAGATATGCAGGAAGTCGATGGATGCAGGTGGCTCAGGACCGTGCTTTGTGGCATTACTTGGGGGAGGCCTATGTTCAGCAGTGGACTTGTGAAGGGCTGTAATGAATGAAAAAAAAAGGTTGCTGGATACCACGAGATGCAATAACTATTTGCAACAGGGTGAAATGTTAGCTTGTTTGTGTGTAATGTTATGTTATAATAATTATGAGATATGATGATCTTAGTGAGAGTACTAGCTAATAGTCACGAATGTAATCTATTATAATCTCGTTAATTAATACGATGTAGATGAAAACTGAAGTACTAAATCCATTATAATCATTCATACATACAACGCGTGTAAAAAGAGGAAGTATGTGTTTCTTTATATAAGTAGGTAGGTACAACACTTTTATAAATATTTCTTAAAGTTAATGCAAATTTAATTCTAATTCTGTGAGTTAGCTTCATTTTTCAAGATAAACTAGATTTAAAATACAGTCGATAGCTCATTACTAAAAGAAAAGGCGCTTATGAAATATGTCCGATATAAAAATAAAATTTACCATACTAATTAATATAATGGCTGTATTTCAAAAATAGGTGTAGGTGTGAGTAATTTGCTATAACTATCAACTTCCTACTTCGTGACAATTTATAAAATTGATACTTTTTAAAACACAACATCGATGTTATTAAAACTTCATCAGGTAATAATTACGTAATCATGCGTTGAATAATAATTTTTCTAGAGATATGTGTATGGAAGACGCATGAGCTTACTAATTACGAACATAGGTACACCTACACTTGAACTCAAAACATGAAGATATGTTGAAAGTTGAACTTTCAAGTATTATTCGTATTCAGTACAATATCTTCCAAACGGGAAATTATTAATTTGTAGCTGAAACAACAAGAAAAGAGATACGATTAAAAAGGTTGTAATACTTAATATAGTATCATCGTTATTATTATCATTATCGCAGCCACTGCTAAA